AATGGTCAGGGAACGAAAGGCTGGCTATGCCAAATTCATGAATAAATCACATGTTGGTGTTCTGAGTGATATTTTATTTATTTCTCTCACACTACATACTGCAGAATGAAAGGATTCTTTTTGAAGTGACTTGACAGTGAGTGGATATAACCATTTACAATGTGACTAGAGCATCAATTCATTTCCTTTTTTTGCAAATCCTGCTTATTTATTTATTATTTATTACAGATATTTATATAGCGCCAACAATTTATGCAGCACTTTTACATAGTGCACATTCACATAAGTCCCTGCCCTCAAAGAGATTACAGTCTAAGGTCCCTATTTCTACATAAATACAATTTAGACAGAAGCCAACTAATCTACCAGCATGTCTTTGGAGTGTGGGAGAAAACCAGAGTACCCAGAAAAAAAAGGTATCAACATAGATACAGTTATTGCCCTCAGAGCTTCTCCTGCAGCCCAGCCAACACTGTTAAAGGAGAACTATGGGGTCAGTGTTTTTCCCCATAGTTCTCCTTAGGGTAACGGGAGGACACAAACTAGCATCCACCCGTTACCCTAAGCTCAGTATACCGCAACCGGAGCGGATCCAGACTTAGATGACGGGATCCGCCCAGCTGCGTGAGTGACAGCTGGCTCTGCCTATCCAGAGGCAGAGCCAGCTGTACCCGCCCCCTCCACCGTCCGTTTCGCCAGTCAGTGCTGGCAGATCAGAGCGGGGAGAGTGGAATCCAGCCCCTCCCCCTGTCACGGCAGAGAGCCGTGACAGGATCGAGAGGTGAGCGAACCCGGTATGTGTTCGCTCACCTCCCGATCTACTGAGCCGACCTGTGACAGTCTCATTGTCACAGGTCGGCTAGAACTATGAGGTGAGTGAAAAGCACTCACCTCATAGTTCTCCTTTAAAATAACCTTGTATGCCTAACACAGTCTTCCTGAAGCTATAAAAAAAATCCCTAACTAGCTATAATAAAGTGATCAGTTAATGTTAAAAAAGATGGCATAGCTACTGAAGAAACCGTGGTAAGCTGGAAAAATGTACAGGGCTATTCACAAAAGGGTGAAGAGTTTGGAGAAGGGAGGAGAAGAGAACAATCTAGGACAACATAGCTGAACTGGAAAGTGAGCTGAATTGGAGAATTTTTCCAAATCGGCTATTGTTCACTTCTGCCTTCTCCAAACTCTTCACCCATTTGTGAATAACCCTGATAGTTTAATAGTTAATTGCCTGCTCTGCTTCCCCCTCTTTATTAGCAACTTACACTCTTAGGACTGATACCTGGTAGTGTGCTAACTATACTGATAGCTCCTCTGCTAGGTGTCCTTGATTTAGGTGTACATTATGTTGCAATCAGTGACACATATTTTAACAATTGACTATGCCAGGTGGCACAGAGAAAGGTTCCTGGGAGTGTAAAAATTGGAATATAGATACTGCAGATCTAAATAGTCACTTTAACGTGTTTAGCTGTATGCTGTGTAAGTCTAAACATAGATTTAAAGGAGAACTTGCAAAAAAAATTATATTCTAATGGAATCATCTGAAAAGTGAAAAATGTAAAAAAATATAATAACAAAACATTATCTATTTCATTCTGGTGTACAGAAATCGTAATATTATGTAATGTTAATTTTACTCTGGCATTTAAGGGGCATTGTCACATGCTGAAATATTCCTGTTGATGCAATGTGGTATGTCAGTGATCTCCTCTTCCCCACCCAAAGGCTACATAGTGATCCCCATATTTCTGAGATCTTATGGCCCATTCACACAAGCCCATCCGCTATACCGCTCCATCTTAGCGGATGGGTTAGTGCAGCACTTTGGCACCTGTCACTGTTAACAGTTTTTTAACTTTACGTGGCGTGTACACTGCTGTGCAGTGACCTGCACTGGCATCATAAAATTCTGCATGTTTGCATTTTATCACAGTGCACCTGCGTTATGTTGTGAATGGGACACATAGATAACACTTGTTTTCTATGTGCCCTTGTGGTGATTTGTGTTGATGTGTCTCAGGCAAAATAGGAAATGAGAAGAAATCTCTTCAATGGCTATTTATACAGCATTTGAAACTTGACAGAACAATCCTAGTGCGAATGCAGGCAGCATCTTAAACCTGACGGAGCTTCTAGCCCTTCTTCACTCTATCCAAAACTAAAAAATATATTGGCTGGAGTTGTTTTTTAGGAGGCAATGAGGGAATCATGAAACAAGCAAAATCTCTCTATGCAGCCTAAGGTTTAAAAAACATGATAGCTCCAGTATAAAATGTACACAGGGAATGCAGCCCATGTCTGGCAACTCTCATCGTATTAAGCTGAAATGGAATAATATTGACTGATATTGTTTTTATGTGATCATAATATAAGGCTGCCTTAAAAGCAAGCAAGAAAAAGTAACAAAATAATACACTGCACATTAGGGATGCTCAAATACCAAGAACCTTACTCGATACAAGTACAAGTCCAGATACTTTTTCAGCTCCAAGACTAGAGAAAAACTCAAAAGTTAGGAGGCAGCTGTCATTTTTTAAGGAACATACGGGACTCCTGGGATTTGTGCATCCCGGTTTTAATGTATGATTTGTTATATATACTGTGTATATATATATATATATATTAGGGATGCACTGTTTTTTTCCAGACCAAGTACAATACATTTCTTTTATTGCGATGTGACAGTTTTCATGTGTTTACTTGACTGCTTGGTCAGTTCCATGCCTATACCTCTTCCTAGCACATGGTGGATCTCTTCCCATAGCCTGTCACTGTTACTTTGTATTGAACAGGTGTATAAGGGTGTGTTCAGCTATTAACCCCCTGTCTACTGTTAAAGGGCCAGATTGCAGGGACCCAACCAGTCTACCTTACAAAATGAAAACCTGGGTGACACCTACACCACATCATGGCCCATTCTCTTGGCCAGCTCGGGTTGTATGTCACACCACACATAACCATATTATAAGGGAGATCCAACTATCTCCATAGTCAAACTTGTTTGTGAATGCTTTTAGCTGTATTTTATATTAATTCGACTTTTTTTTATTTCATTTTTTTTTTCACGGGTTAAACTAATGTTAGAACAGGTTTCCGATTAACAAAGTGCTGTTTCTTCACCCAAAGTAACTAAAAAGCTTCACAGCACAATGATTAGGTCTCTCCTAGTGTGAGTGAAATAATGAAAACTAAGAAAAAAAAAATCAGCATTCCATTTTACTTTGCCTTCCCAAGAGAAATCATAAAAATAATAATGAGGTCACAAAGGCCAAGAGTAAATTACTGTCTGTGATTAAGCTACAGCAATAGCTGTCTATTAAAAACCAGGTTTCTCTGCAGAATGAAAATGTAAAAAGAAAATATAGTGGATAAAGGTCTCAATAAAAAAAAACTATGGAACACTCTAGCCTTGCTGAAAAATCTATCCAGGTACGGGGCTTTTCAATTTTATGCCAGGATAGTTTTTCTAGAAATGAAAGTGTATTTAAAATGTTGCATACTGTAAACTACTTTTTCCTTTTGCAAATAATATAATGCAGTAACTGCAGATTCAGAAGCATATCCGAACCGCATTACATCCTACAGAAATGAAGGATGGAACCTGTCATATACAAAGAAAGAAAGCTTTGTCATCACATGTCCAAACAATAGGTCAAATATCAATACATTTTTGTAGAGTATCAATCTTCAATGAATCTCTGTGGAGTATAAAAACCTAATGAATCTCTGTAGAATTTCAAACTTCAATGAATCTCTGCAGAATATAAAAACTTAATGAATCTCTGAAGAGTATCAAACTTTAATGAATCTGCACAGTATCAAAACTTAATGAATCGCGGTAAAGTGTCAAACATCAATGAACCTCTGTAGGGTATCAAATCTTAATAAAAACTGTGTAGAGTATTAAAACTCAGTGAATCTCTGTAGAGTATTAATCTCCAGTGAATCTCTTTACAGCGTTGCATGTGCATGAGACACAGCCCCTTTATGTCTCCCTGCAGCCCAGATGCCCCTTCATAACTTCTGTTATATTCAAACCATACCATGTAAATTAAACAAAATGGTGAATCTGGCATGTGACGCTTTTTCAAAAAGGTTACATATTATACTTTTGTAAAACAGGTTTCAGTATAAATGAATGCAATTGTGTGGGCAACTGTTCTTACCTGAAAATTTTGATTTGACTAGGACCTCAAACTGCCTTATGGTAACAACTGTTACATGTACAATGAATGAACATATTCATTGAGCAATAAAGATATTTTAAGCATTCCCAAGCAAAAATGAATCACAAAAATAACTATGGAGGATAGGACCATAAACAGATAACAAGGTGTGAGAATTCAATTAGGTTTTAAACCAGAGATAATAATAAGCAGATCACAAGTTTATTGCTTTAATCTACCATAGAACTATGAACATGCTTCAAAAGACCTGAACCTTGTGATTTCCACCCTCCCAAATCAGTCTGGTTACACAATCTTTGTTGTATAATGCTTGTAACATTATAAAAGATAGTTTGCATAACCAGGCTGATTTAGGAGGCTTGAACACACAAGACTGTAATCCTTTGTCACATCTTCACAATTCCCTAACAGTCTATTATCTGAGCAGTAAACTCTTCAGTAGTTTTCTACTTACATAAACAAAGCTGGGTCACAAAGTTTCAAAGATGTTAGATGCAGCAGCACTTTAATTCCCAACAAGTTATTATCACAGCAGAGCCCTTTATATTTTAGAGATAAAAATGGAAAAACTACCATGTTGCCCCTCATTATATTCGTTACAAAGTCCCGATGTTCCATCTATCATTGCTTGATTAGAACACTGCATTTTATCTAATAAACTCTGAGATGGATGTAAACCTTAGAACCTGAGTGAAGCTACTGTAATAGAGTTGCGTTGTAGTGCAAAATCAGCATAGGAAGAAGTCCCAGCCATCTATGTGAAATCTGATAGAGAACAATAGCGGAAATGTAGTTAGGTATGACACTTGCCTCTCTGATAAAATACTTTGGTTTCCACAGCAGATTAGTGGATGCTCTCTGTCTGGCTTCTGCCCTCTGCCTCTCCTCCAGTTGGTGTTTGCGCTCGGTTGCTGCTTCAATGTTATTTGACTTTAGGGCATTGGTGACATTTTCCCAAATACGCCTGAGGAAAAGAAAGATGGCATTGTGCAATATGAAAACATTGTTAGAGAATGGCATAACAAACACATTAATAAATATATGGGGTCAAAGTATAATAACTATCCATATGGCTGTGCAGAAACACAAACACAGATATTTTATAAATATCTATTTTACATAGTTACTAGTAACTGTCAACTATGCAATTTGGCAGAATAATTGTGGCATGAAAGGCTATAAATGGGCCAGCCATAACTACTGATTGCTGCTCATTCAATTTGTTTTAATACTACATGCATTTAGCTCTTTGCTCTGTAAGTTGTCATAGGTGCAAATACACACATTAGTCCTTGGGGCTAGCAAATATTGGTAATGTACTCAAAGGTAAAAGGGTGTATTGTGTATGCCAAGGTTGATTTGTCTCCCAGTACCCAAAGCACTGGTAAGATAATTTGTTTGTAATTAAAAACAGCAATTAGAAAATATTACAAACAGCAAATACAAAATATTACACTGCCCACATGTTTAAATTTAAAAAAATAAAATATAACAAGATCTCAAGTGGGTATGCAAGCAAGCATACTGCAAAAGTATTAATGTAAACCCTAACCCTAACAATAAACTTCTCTTTTTTTCTCCCTTTTGGTCTAGGTTTGGGTCTAAGAGAGAAAGGAAGAGGATTAAGTGCATAGTTAGCAACTTGGCAATTTAACCATCAATCTGTTGCTCAGTGTGACTAGTTGCATGAAGCAGTTGTAATTGTTTTGGGCCTAGGGAGCCCCTGGGTCACAGCCCACATTATAAACATGGTTAATAAACAAAAATATTTGCGCTGTTGGCTTTTCCACCCTTCAAAATGACACAAACAGCGACAGCTGCAGTGAAAAACCAAGAAGTGAAAAAATAACCCTGGGCAAACAATAGCAAATTATTATGCTATTATAAACAGGTTGACTTCTACTCCAAGTTGTCTTGAAGGTATGCCTCCAGTAAATCTTTTCCTTACATAATTCAGAGGTCCTGTGTGGGCAGTAGATGATCCCATGAACTGGAGAATGGTAGGATTGGGGTTACGTCTGGAGTGAGAGGGGCTTAGTGATGACTCTTGTTAATCCAAGTGTTCCCCAAATCCATAAAAATTGCTGAGTATCAACAAATAGTCTTGCCTGTATTTTGACATTGTTTTTAGTCTAATAAATAAGTAAATGTGCCGAGCTCCAACAATGATCAGATATAAAGAGTATAAAAAAACAGTGACTCAAACAAATGTCAGTGAAAAAAATCAATCAGGTGTAAAGTCTTTCAATCTTCATAAATCTGCAAAAATGTCCAAATATAGCAATAGTGATGAATATTTCTTGTTCCTTCACCAAATGCACCACGTGCACCACACCAGATATAGGGGTGCTCACCTTATTGATGGACCCCAGCAAGAGGTCAAACCAGGCAATTCCCTTCTTAACCAGGGGAGGGGGCCCTCAGCTCCAATCGCTCACAGATGTCCTCCAATGGTGTAATCAGACCAACAAACAGATCTGTGCAACACTTCTTAAATAGGAAAGCACTAGCCTCCAATCTTTATCGATCTATAGGCCTCCTCAGTATAAGGTGTCAATGTGACATGTAAGGTGTCGTGTTGACCGACAAAAAGAAAGCAAACACCATAGCGCGTACCGAAAAGTAGCTGTTAGTTTGCTTATTGGCGCAGTTCATTTTCTATATTTATTGTTTTTAGTCTGATCACTTTTCATCAGTTCAGAGGTTCAGGGCCTAATTATTGCAATTCCTTCCACAGATCTGAGCTTTGCTTACAAATAAGATGTGATTTAGGTCAAGCAGAGTTCTGGTGGCTCTATGGCTGAACAACTACTTTTCTTGGTGGGTCATCTGACTATCTAAGAAAAGAGTAAAAGCCATAAAATGTTTTCTTTTCCTCAAAATATGCAAGATGTTTTTCAGACATTTCCTCACATGAACACATCTTTAACACAAGAATATTGCAGGTATATCTACATATCAGTCAATTACTGTTAATCCTGAACCACAGCTTGGGAACATGAAGGTGAGGGGTCCTTTTTTTAATAACATTCCTTTTTAATATTTAATCTAAATTGCAACTGTTGCAAAGTATCATGTGTGTTTCTGTTGCATTCTATATAAAAATGCTTGCCTTGAGCTAAAACATAGGTAAGTGTGGAAATCAAAAAAAGTGCCGGAATACACATAAATGTGGATAGCATGGTATTCAAGACAAGTGCTGGGTACACTGTAATGTGGGTAAACATTGAAATCAAGACAAGTGCTGGGTACACCAAAAAAGGGAGGTAAGTGTGGGAGTCAAAGCACTTGCTGGGTACACTAAAATAATGGTAAAAATGGAATGGGAATCAAGACAAGTGCTGGCTACAATGAACATGGGGGTTAGTTTGGGAATCAAGAAATGTGCTGGGTAAACTGAATTGTAAGTAAGTGCGGGAATCAAGACAAGCACTGGGTACACTGACACATGGGTAAATGTGGGAATCAAGACAAGCACTGGGTACACTGACACATGGGTAAATGTGGGAATCAAGACAAGCACTGGGTACACTGACACATGGGTAAATGTGGGAATCAAGACAAGCACTGGGTACACTGAAACATGTGTAGGTGTGGGGATCAAGACAAGTGTTGGTCACATTGAAACATGGGTAAACATAGGAATCAAGATAATTGCTGGGTACGCTGAGATGTGGGAAAGTGTGGAGATCAAGACAGGTGTAGGTACACTGAAACATGGGTAAGTGAGAGAATTAAGACAAGTGCTGTGTACACTGAAATGTGGTTAAGCATGAGAATAAAGACAAATGCTGGATACACTAAAACATGACTAAATGGAGGAATCAAGACAACCGCTAGGTATGCAGTAATGTGGGAAGTGTGAAAATCAAGTCAAGTGCTGCTTATACTGAAATGTGAGTAAGCGTGGAAATCAAGAAGAGAGAGTTATATACTGAATTGTGGTAAAGTGTGAAAATCAGGACAAGTGCTTGGTATACTGAAAGAGACCACTGAAAGGGGTCACTTCTATTAAGAAGGCAGCTTGCAAAAGAACAAGGTATATCTATATATTTACCTTTCTGGCAGGAGAAACCACAGCACACGATGGGGAAGATATTTTACAAACTCAGAAGTGTGGAATACATGCAGCAGCTAGAAAGCAGTGGTGGTTTTTCAATAGATGTGCCACCAGAAAGGTAAGTATATCCATTTTTTTCTTTTACAGATTGCTTTCTGTTTTGAAGGGACCATGAGGGGATAGGGTCACTTGAAACATGGATAAGTATGGAATACTTATGGGTATAATGAAAAGTGGTTAAACACAGGAAAGAAGAAAAGTGATGGGTGTGCTGTGGCATCCATACCTCCTTTGTACAGGGAATAAAATAATAATAAAAGGAAATATACATGGATAATTAAAGGGAAGACTAGCTGCCGGCAGTTTTCTAAGGCAGCAGCTTATCTTTCACACGTTGATAATCATTTTCAAACTCCTTTTAAATAACTGCGCGCTGCTGAGTGTGTAAAATGCATGCTACTTTTTCACAATGCTTCTCATTTAATAACTTTGAAACATTCATTAACCTCCTCTGTTACAAGAGCTTCTACTGCTGTTTTCAACTGCTCCCAGAAAGCTAGATTATAAAGTAGGACTTTGATGTTGCTGCTTATTTACACAGTAAACTTCCATTTCATTTAAATCTCGCTATGGCAATATGGCTGTTGTTAACTGCCTGCTGCTATTGCGGTAACTGGGAATGCTCATCTTTTTCTGAAGGAATATATAACTTTTTATATTGTATGTCAATAGCCACTCAAAACAGACTTGGATTTTGTGAAAATGCAGCCGAGCCTTGCTAGTCCTTCAAATGACTTTATTGTAATGCAGTCTCCAAGGTAATGATCTAGTTACTTTTTGTAAACATTTCATACAGGAAACTGCTGTTATGGGTTTACAAACATCAATGTACTAAAAATATTAAAATACAAAACTACAATACAAATAGATGTACTTTTTTAAAAGGCAGAAACCCCAGTGTTGAAGGGAACCAGAGGTTTAAATCTTTTTAAACAGGGATTGCCGTGAAAACAGGAATAGTACTGTCTGTGATACCTCTTTTATTTGCACATATTTACACTTTCAGGATACGGTTTTGGTGGGTCTACCCTCTTCTTCTACGGTCCAAGCAGTACTGTCATACAAAGGTTTAGCAAAATGCTAAGAAGTAATGTACCAAAACAACAATCTGAAAAAAAAAACCACACAAACACGGTAATAAAAGTATGAAAGTTAAGCTGGGACATTTTTAAATGAACCCTCATATGAAAAATGAAGGTGAGAAATGATGTCCCACAGGTGTGCAATTATCATCTTCCTCGATTCTTTTATAGTGTGTCTATGTCGGGTATTTATTTTAGTAATTTAATTTCCTGCTACACCAATGTAGCATGCCTGATTGCACTTGTTGCATTAAATAAATGAGGTACACCACTTTTGTATGTGTGACACTTTTTAATGGATTGATTTGGCAGCACAGTTTGCAGCGTTTATTGTTTTGCAAGGTTTTTGCCTTTTTTTGCTTCCCTGCAGTCATAATTGGGTCTACTGCTGATTAATTTTTGTCTGAGGTTGGGTGGTTGTATTGTACTTGCAGCATTTGTTTTTTTTCATGTATAGTACACCCACTGTGAGAGCAGCAGAATTTCCAAATTCGAACCGAGTTAGAAAGCAAACAAATCTGAATGTTCCTTTACCAAAAATTCGGACTGGATTACTTTTTCGTCCACGGAAGAATCCAGACTGTTGTTGCTCTCCCTGAAGTCTTCCATCTGAAATAAAAATCAGGAATTGGGATACAAGATAGTGACCCGGTGGTACCGTACTCCCCAACTGTTAAGTACAATTTTTCCAGATTCTAGTGACCGCTGTTGGCGCTGTGGCTCCTCCTCTGTGGGCATGCTCCACGTTTTCTGATCCTGCCCCTCCCTTCAAGAATTCTGGTTGCAGGTCCACTCCATTACTCAGCGGTTCTCGGAATCGCAGATCCCCAAGTCTCCCTCTTATTTTCTCCTCCATCATAACACGTGCTCTCAGCGGGGATATACACGCTCGGTTATAGTACATCCGGTTAACGCGGCACGTGCTTGTATTCCCGCACTGTGGAAACAGGTCTCTCCTCCCACCATCTGCCTGTGGTTTAGCAAAATTAAGCAACTCAGGCATATGGAAGACCTCACCATTTTCCTCAGGGGCACGGTGGCTCGGTTTTGCTCTACTTGCTACTGGTGGGATGAGTTCGCCTCCTCTCCAGAATACATAGCTCTTCTTAAGTGAGACACCCGGTGCGGCTCTTTCTTCTTTCCTTTGCTTCCGCTTTTCTCTCATCTCCTCTTGCCTCACACCTCCCCTTCTTCCCACCCTCACTCCCCCCCTTTTTTTTCTCTCTCCCCTTCCCCTTCTTTCCCTTCCATGTCCTATTGGTTGGCATTGGGTGTTATGCCCCTGCTGACCCATACTAAAAAAATTCTGAGCCTGCAGCATGCGGCACACAGTTTTCGTGCTGTCCGCAGTCAGTAGTTGCACATATGTTCTCTTGTTACTGTCGGTTTTTGTTACCAACTGTTACTGTATCTATATCTGATGGGCACTGAGCTCATCTTGGAGTTTTACTACCTGTGTTGGTTACATGCTGTGCTCGTATCTAAATAAAGAATTTATTTTAAAAAAAATTCGGACCATTCCAAATTTTGTTCAAAATGAAAGTAAATCAGACACGTGGCCAAGCAGATGGGTTTTTTTGGGCTGTTGTGGGTTGCATCACAGGCACGGTCATGTGACTTCCTGTTTTAGATCTTTCTAAAACTAAAATTTGAAGGGATATGAAATCCGAATAACGTACGGAATCGAATTTCGGAAACGAAATCTGAAAAATGAAAGAAATAAAAATCCAAGTCGATACACAACAAAACAACTTTTTTGCGGGGATACATGTCTACTGAGGGGTGGCCAACAGCAACAAAATACTAACAAGCGCACACAACATTACTTTTAAAAAAATAGTGGCGGCCTGCAGCCCAAAGAGCTGCCTGCAGGATCTTACATTCAAAACTTGCATCATCTAAGGCCCTAACATCCACCTAGTAAAACTCAAAAAATAAAGGAAAAGAACACTAGGTGGCAGACTTGTAAATCTCAGAAACAAATGCCTAAGGCTTAAAAGCCCAAGAAGTACTTACAGGCCCAGTAGAGTGTGCCTTGACAGAAAAAGGTGCCTTGTCTTTCGGCCAATAGGCTGGAATAATGATCTGTCTGAGCCACCAAGAGATGGTGGAGTGAGAAGATGGTTTCCCTTTACAGGGATCATCAGGAATGATAAAAAGAGAGTCAGTCTTTTGTAATGGAAGCAGTGGCTATATGATAAACATGCGCAACATGAACCACATTCAATCAGCGACGGGAAATCTCTTTTGGATGTACTGGGACTGGACAGAGAGACAGAAACATAATGTTCTGGTTGAGGTAAACAGCAGATGCTACCTTAGAAAGAAATTAGGTTTTGGGCCTCAATACAACGTTGTTCTTGTGTGAGATCAGGAATGGTTTTATATAAAACAAGGCAAATAGTTCAGACAAACATCTTGAAGACGTGATCACAACAAGACAGCCTTGTGCATAAGACAGGAAAGGAGAATATACCTGATGGGTTCAAAAGGCAGTTTTTGGAAAGCCCATGGGGCAACTGATGGTTGTACAGGTTTGGCTATATGAGAGACACCCTATACAAAGGCCTTAAAGGAAAACTTCACTTTAATTAAAAAAATATAGCATATAAAATTGCTACACAAGCCATTTTATAAAATTAAAATGATCCAAAATTATATTTCATTTTCAATCTGGAGCCACTGTGATTTTATGAAACTGTTTTAAAAATGCAATGTTGGTGTATGGAATGCCCCCAGAAATGTCATTGCCTGCTTTTGTGATTGGCTCATAGATTTGTCCAGAAATCAGCACTATATACAGATTCATCCCCTGCAATAAAAATGTCATTATTGGTGAGATGTCCCCTATGGGCTAACTACTTCTAAAGGGATGCAGACACTGCAACTTTCCTCATTAGAACATTGACAGTGCACCAGCTGGTTATAACGAACTCAGAGCTTCCCATAGTTTGGAAATGACATGTTCAAATAAACAGCTTTTTCTTCAAAACTGAAAAATGAAGGGATGTGCAATAGTTTGTTAAAGTCCTTGCAATGTACCTTTATCACCCAGAATAGATTGTTTTTTTCCCTCAGCAAATGTAGAAATACACAAAACAATTAGAAGCAAGCAGTCTTTGGAGCAGGATAAAATGATTCAGAATTTGACATTTATTGGTACTGAGGGCTATATGCTGACCCAGGCCAGATTTCAGAAAAAGATACAATTTCCTAGGATTGAACATGTTTTGTCTTGCACCAAGCAAAGAAAGCCTTATATGTGCAGGAGGTAGACTTCCTAGCTTTTAGGAGCATAGGAATCACCAAATCAGAAAGGCCCTGGTTTTTTAGGACCTGGGCTTCAACAGCCAAGCCGTCAACGCTAGCAACTGTAAAGCAGGCTGGTAAACTGGTCCTTGAGACAAAATATTCAGTCAATCTGGAAGAGCTCACAGGGTTTCTGCCAGAAGTCTGATGAGGTCTGAGTACCACATCCATCTGAGCTAATTACTAGGATGCCCCCCACATCAATCCTGTGGAGAGGATGAGTAAGAAATTCAGAGAAGGGAAAGCTTAGATCAGGTCATACTGATAGCACGGAGCTACCACATCACCTGATGCTACCCCTAGCCTACAGGATCTCTACACCTAGAGACAAACCTGCTCAGTTTGTTGTTGAATCTGGAGGCTAGGAGATTCACATCAGGTGTTTCCCATCTGCAACAGAGGAACTGAAACACCTTTAGGTAAGGACACAATTCCCAGGTCCAGGTATTACCAACTGTGATAGTCTGCTTGCCAATTGTCTATGCCTGGAATGTCAATGGCAAACAATGCAGGAAAGTGAAGTTCTGCCCAAGAAATAATTTTTTCTGCTTCTCTTTCTGCAGCAAAACATTTGGTTGATCGTTGAAGCTGTGGTGTTGTCTGAAGGAATCCTGATCACATAGCCCTTTAAGCTGGGCACACACCTTACAACCATCGCAAGACTTCTGTCTTGCGATGGTTGTAAGGTACTTAAAAAAACGTACGATCGCGGGATTTCCCGCGATTATCGTACGATAATCGTAAGGTGTGTGGGGACCCTTAGTCAAGAGGTCCAGTGTTCAGAAGTCCCTCCAGAATCCTTTCACAATCTTCAATCCAGTAGGTTCTGGGCACAGCCACTAAGGCAGCACCAAGCATTAGCCCATCTGGATAACTTGCATAAAGAGTTGAGCACAGCAGCTATTCTTGGGGAAAAATAAAATAAAAAGTCTACTAACATTAATTAAACTTTTCCCTGAAGAGAAAAGCTGTCCTTCCTCCTAAGGCACTAGCAAAAAGCTGAAGCATGATGGGAGTGGGAGGGGTATATCTAACTGGCTTTTTTTTTGGTTTGCCAGTGTCCAATTTCACATGCAGGCGGGTAGGCAGCAATAAAACCCAGTTGTACCAGAATTACTTCTCATCCTGTGTCACTCAATGAACCAGAAAGAAACATAAAATAATGCAGTTGTGTGTTTCTTAATAATATTATTTTTTAAATGTATTTTGACACACAACTAGCATAAGTATCTGATTCTGTCTTGACATAAGTCTCCTCTAATGCTTTACACAGTAGCACTCACATTCACTTACTTTGATTCAGAAGGTCCTTGCTTCTCTAGGGGTCGTATTTTTTTCCTGATAATTGACAGCTGAGTCGTATCAATGACTTTAGTCTCTCCACTGCTATATGTAAATTCCAGCGTTCCGTTCCATTCTCCTTGGGCCTTACATACTATTGCGTTAGTGGGCATGTGCTTGACTTCAGCTGTGACCCTATTAAGAAGCCATATGCAGTTATTAAAAGTAATTTACTATTTATGTTATTTGTCAAAGGAATCAGCATGCAGAGCTAGCAGGTGAGTAACTAAAACATATGTTAGTTAAGTATAAAAATATATATGATAATATATGATAAAGCATAATAGGATAGCATTATAACCTTCAGTCTATCACTGTGCTATTTTACTTTAACAGTGGCTGAGTACCTTGTAGATGCTAAAGCAGGCTTGTACATGTTCATATTACCCATCCTCTAGTAGATAGAACATGCAACGTCCTCTTAACCATGGTTGCCATAATAGGGCGTTTGGTCTATATTTACAGTAGGGATGTTCAGATACCAAGTACCATACTTGGTACAAGTACTGATACTTTTCCAGCTTCACCATTGTTGCCATAATAGGGAGCTTGGTCTATATTTATAGTAGGGATGTCCAGATACCAAGTACCGTACTTGGTACAAGTACTGATACTTTTCCAGCTTCACCATTGTTGCCATAATAGGGAGCTTGGTCTATATTTATAGTAGGGATGTCCAGATACCAAGTACCGTACTTGGTACAAGTACTGATACTTTTCCAGCTTCAAGACTAGACTAGAGAAAAACTCAAACGTTATGTGGCAGCTGTCATTTGTAAGGAGCATTGGCTACGGGGCTCCTGGGACTCCTAGATATATATACCTAGATATATATATATATCTAGATATATATACAGTATATATATAAAAGGGATGCACCAATACCATTTTTCCAGACCAAGTACAAGTACTGATAGATACAAGTACTGATACATTTTTGAAAAAATTTTCAAATCTGCACTTATGGGTGAGTCTTTTGGTCTAATAAGAGCTGCTGCACTGTAGACGCTGAGGCCAAAATGAATATAAGTAATGTGTGACGTCTTCAGGAGGATTGCAGGTCAGGACCTGCAATCCCCCTGAAGACATCACAGACCTGCAATCCCCCTGAAGACGTCACGTATGACGAAACACGTTGGGGCGAGTCTATTCCATTCGATACCACGCACTACACGGATGTACATGCTATCTGAATGCTGTGTTTGACCGGCCGGTTTCTTCGTTTTTAACTGTTAGTTTTCTGCTCCGGGGGGGGAAGACCTTTCAAGCACTTTTGGACTGTGTTGCACATATTGGATTTAATACTAGCAACATTTCACCATATAATATTTATATCACATTGAATGTGAGCCTGTGAGCCATTCATATATGGAAAATTATATTTTTTATTGCATATATTTATTTTATCAATTCTTTGAAGGTTTGTCACATATGGAAAATGTTTGTATTGCATCTATTTACTCAATTAATAGTTTGTCACTTATTTTATGTACACTATCATTTATATTTATAGTTTATAATATATCTGATTATAATTGCACATTAGCACTTTTGCAGGTATTGCACCTTTATCATTATTTAGTTACTACTGAGGTAGTGACACACTTGTGAGTGCACAGGTCACTTGTATTTGCATTAAATATTTGTGCACAGTAATTAAGAGAGCCCTAACTTAACATCAAAGTAGGTTCATCTAAGCTACCACCAATCCTTAGCGCTGTACATTCATTACTTATACTGATACATTTTTGTTTAGTTTCATATACAGACTACTGCTTTTAGGACAGTGGTGGAATGCCAGTGCCCAGTCGCAGCTGCAACCCTGGTAGTTCTTGTGAAAATTTTAAAGTAAAAAAGTATCGTCACTGGTATCTGAACATCCTTAATTTACAGGGGTGTTCCATTATGTATGGATTATTAATACTTTACTGAGCCAATTGACCCCAAATGCATAGTTGGTCAGATAAACTATTGTCAGTGGGCCACATATTTGGCACATGGAAATCGGCTTTTTTGGATGTGCATAGCTCAATATGAATGGTTTGAAAAGAAAGACTAGTGACTAGTTGTTAAAAGTGTGACTTTTCACACAAAAAGTCTTGATCTGCCCCAAATAAATAATGGTTCGGAAAAGGAGTTTGTCAATATTTGGCGCAATAGAGGTGTACAAAGTTACATATTCTTCTATACACCATATAAACTATATGTGCTGCAACATAGTTTAATATACAATGTTCCAAGATAGGATGTCATATGTGACAATTCACATTCTTCAACAACTGCTAATCTTTTATCTGGCCTAGTGTCTTAGTGCAGCTCAGATTGTGCTGAATGCACACTGCAGTGTTTGTCAGCACTGATGCTGCAACATTAATATCATGAGATATAATATAATCATTAAAAAAATGCTAATAAATGTTACAAAACTGATGACTATAAAAATAATTACAAACAGTAACTGTTTAAGACTTTTTATAGTTATTTTTGAAATATTTATAGGTTGGCAATCCTTGTGGATCCCCAATGAAAATGCACTAATGATGCAGGAATTTCAAACATGAAACATACAATGACTATAAAACTTCAAATAAGCTTGTCTGTGTTAGATCAGTAAAGTGTGTAACTAGCCATTACCTGTGGACCTTTCCTCCATAGAAAGGCTTGGTGTGGAATGTGACGGTGGCACCATAGCCTGTCTTGGCACAAATTATATTGACTTTACCTCCCAGCTCCACCCAGGGAACTGTGAGTATAGAGCGAGCGTAGGCACTAGGAAGAGTAAATATGTATTCTTCTCCATATTCCATCAACTTGAGTACCCCTGAGTGAGAGAGAAGTGCACACAAAGGAGCAGGCTGTTAGATGTAAAATATCCCTCAATAAAATGTACTGCTGTAATAATGAAGTCTAAGAAATCAATTATATAATGCTTCCTCTCCAAATGGACTTTTTCCCCCCATTCTCAAAGGAAGTATCTGTGATAGTGTTCCAGAAAAGATTACTCCGTCAGTTTTTTTCCTTAGGCAAGGAAAATTACAGTACATTATAATATTTTTCAGGCATACAGCAATAGAACTTTGTTGGTTGCTTTTTTTGTCATATGCAGTGCACTACTGAAAGTAGACGTTATGAAAAGAGGAAGGCTTTAAGTGTAACTCTGGGCCATTCATACCTGATGCAAGGCAAGAATTCTCTCTGAGATATTGGAGGCAGGAGACAAGGTTTTCAGAATTCCTAATGTTTCCAGGCTGCTGTCTGCTCTTGTAGACACAGAGCAACAGTACAGTAGTATGAGGCTGGATTTGCAATAATGGCATCTAGAGCAGGAGTTTTTTTACGAGGATCCACGGAGTCTTATGGTTTAATGACAGGTCACCAGAGGTTTCACCACTGGCTAATGTTGCAGCAGATTGATATACATTTGATGGTGCCTGTAAAGATCTGGCACTTAACGGCACTAGTGATAAACAGTAGCACGGCACCAATAAACAGATAGCGCGAAACTTCAGCAACAGATAAGCAGTAGCACGAAACTTCACTAGACTGCATGGGCATGGGGAATTATTCCCATTGAAAATCAATGCAGGAATATAGTTTCCACTAAACCTCAATGTAAATATATTGCTCCCACTGATCACCAATATAAATATATTATTCGCACTGACCACTAATGTGCATGTATTGTTCCCAGTGTAAAAATATTGTTGCCAATGTAAATATGCGGTTCCCACTAAACAACAATATAAATGGTATCCTTCTTTCCACTAAACACCAATAGAAGGGCCATGTTAGACCTGCAATCTTGTCACTGGTTGCTTTAATGGCATCACTCTCTCTGGGGCCACATGGCAACACTTCAGAATCTCCTTCACCACGGAGAGAGCAAAGCCTTGCTCATCCAGCCAGAAAGGGGGAAGCACTGTGGATACAGTTGAGTATTTCTCTGCCCTGTATTGTTGCCAATGACATTAAGGCAAGTGTGACATGGTCCTATGGGGGCACTTCCAGCTGACCAGCATGAGGAAAACCCTTTCAACTGGCCAATGCAAGGACACTAAACTGACCACAAAATAAAGGAGGTGCTTTTCCACTGACCACCAATGTAAGGTAAGCCTACAAATTTCAGTGTGTCCATCCAGTGTATCCATTTATGGCCATTATTAATTTAATAATTATTACTGAAAATATGTAAGTGGGGCTTAACGTCATGGGTGAGGCTGGCATGGACCTGGAGGTGTGCCTTCTATGGGGCTAAGAAAAGGAAAATATGTTTGGTTGATTTTCCAAGTGAAAAGTTAAGCAGTCTTCTAATGCCAGGTTTATGTCATGTGGCCCAGAAATGCAGCACAATGGGATATAGACAGTGAAGAGATATGATTATGCTGATTCTAATACCCCTTACCCTCCATAATGCCTCCTCAGCTGTGTAAATCAGACCTAAGCTTCATGTATGATCCACATGCAAAGAGGTACACATATTAATGCTGGTGAAAGACATTTTTATTATTGCAGAGATACTCGTGACACATTGGCAAGTAAATAGTACAACAAATTAGAAGATCATTGTAAATCAGTCTCAGGTAATAGCACACTGCTTCGCGCCACCTGTCTGTTCACTGTAGATAGATTTCACTATATAAATAGAATAAATTAGATCAAGTATGCTGCAACACAAAATTACTGCTATGAAAATAATATCCCAGTTATTTTTGGCTTCCTAATAGTGGAGTAATTTACTTAAATGAATTTGAATGTTGCCAGATATGGTATGTGGATCGCAAAGCATTATGTGCTGGTATATAGACACCTTTAGGATGAGCCAAGTACTTTTCTCTATTTTTCCCCAACGTTTATATAACTAGCATTAAAAGTACTAAATAATGCATTAGATTCCAACTTGTTTTTTTTTTCTTAGGTTTGCATACCAATTCTTTTCTACTCTCCCCAACACTCTAATTTGGCTGGAGTTGGGCTTAATTTGTTTTGTTCAGTACACATTATTACTTTCCTCCTACTTGCCAGAAAGTACAAAGCTTAGCAGAGCTCTTCATTGAGACGGTGCTGAATATTGTGATGACTAGCCACTTTTACACCGATTTAACCAAAGATCTTTGAAACTGACAGTTCCACCAACCTTGTGTAAGATAAATGAGTGTAATATTAATTTAAGTAAAGGGCAACTATCACAAAAAAATGTCCTAACATTGTTTTCAGGATTTTAGCGTTTTGCTTCTCAAAGAGGAGGAGATGATAATGTGTGTCCAATGTGCCTGATAAGAATAATTACATTATTTTATAAAAATATATTTCCTTGTTTCTCATACCATAATATTCACAAGAATTCTGAATGGTATAGAAGAGTCATTTACAAGTGGCTTTTTCTCTGCAATATTACACTCTAGTCAACAAAATAATGACGTACAGTTATTTGCAACTGAAGGAGGCCTGGCTTATGGAGCAGTACTAATAGGATATGCTGGCATGGTGGTCCACAGTCAGTGATAACTGCTGCACATTATGTATCTACCTGCTTCCTGTTCAGACATGCAATCACAGCATTTGACAGAGGGTTATTCTTTTAGATCCAACTCCATTTGTGGTTCTGATATGTCATGTAACTGAATCCCAAAGAAAGTCAAGGCTGGAAAATGTTAAAATATGTGTCACAACAAGCCATGCCATTTAGGAACACCCACTTTTCACCATATCCAGTAATTATTGAGAAACCATGGCTCATTTTGCACGGTACACTTTCTTCAGCTAGTTGGTTGCATTTGCAACTCAGGCCAAAGGACCCCAGTACTCCCCTGAACCAATGTAACTTTTGCTTTCTAAACGTATTTATTTTGAACTTCATATATTGCCAGCATTCACAGTCATGGGCAGTGACCACATAGCCCAGAACAATATGGCTAGTGGTATTTTATCTCGGTATGACAGTATACAGTTGTGTGAAGAAATGCCAACGCTCCTTGTAAGATTAAACTTTTTGACTGCAAATAGCAATTACTGATGCATGTTTCTCACAGCACGCAGGTCCCTATTGCTATTGTTAACACAGCTTAAATCCTCACAACATCCAAAACATAGCTCCACATGTCCTACCACCAAAAGCAATTGCTAAGCTATTCATTGGGAGCCAAGGACCAGAGTAAACCTAGGAATACTAGGCTAAATGCTGCTAAAGTCCTGCAGGCCATTCTACTGTATACATATAAAGCAGAGTATAGAAACAGTCTGCAAATAAATATATAAGGTGGCCCCTTTTTGAAAAATGGATGCATGCTGTACTGTACAAAGAGGAGGACATTGGGCCCTGGGCCCGCACAAAGTGTCATGCATGCTTTCAAAGTGAAGAATAGGCGTACAAGTCCAATACCTGACAAATCTGTTGGCATTGCCCCACTTGAATCAGAGGCCATGCCTATGCAAATGCAAACTCTTAGCTGGTATTTATATAGCCACCTTTAAATGGCTCCGGGCTGTGCTGGAGGGCCAGACAGTAAACTAACAAGTATGACAAATCAACTTAGACTGCTTGCTCCTAGCTAAGGCTGATAGTTTATGTTTTCACACCGGTTCATCTTAAATATATATTATATCAAATTGTATGTATTGCTGTGTGCGTCTCCGCTTGAGAGACCCGGCTCTCTATTTGTCCTGGTGACCAACACACAAAGTGGTGAGAAATTAAACATTTTCAGCTGTCTTTTATATATTTTGTTAGTCCAATAAGAAAGGTATAATTGCACACTGCAATACTACGTGTTTGTCTTTTTTGACATCTTATATATATATATATATACATATATAGTGTGACATTGGGGAGCTCACAGAGCACTCGCACAGGCTTTTCCATTAACAAAACGTCTTTATTTTCTGTTCAAAAGGCAGACAGTAAAGGAAGTCCAACATAAATAGCTTGCTGCAGCATATAACAGATATGGGCTCACCAATGCTCACCCTTCACAGGTTATCCTGTTCCGTGTCCCAGTCCCAGGACCTTACTGTTTTCCTCAACAGGATCTCTTCAGGAATACACTGGGCACTTTGAGCAGCTTTCAGCAGCCTTTGATTTCACACCCATACACCTTGGGTGCCTGGCTCTATCAGCCTCTCTAGGCCTTCCAGCCTCCAACACATACACAGCCTCCTGGCTTCTGGGTGGAGTCCGCCTGACTCCGGGACACAACCTGTCCCTCTTCCCAGCAGGAGCCCTGAACACACTCCAGCACCCTCCTCATGAGGGATGCACACAGGTGCACAATCAGGTGCTGGCTGCCACTAAAGCCTGGACCCAGGAATGGAGATTTCATCCCTCCCAATGCTCTTTGAAATCTCCCAGTTCCAGGAACCCAAGCCAAATCAGGAAAACCTGGGAAGAACTGCAAAGCCAGCTCTTTCCCAGTAAACGTTTGCACTTTCTGGAACTGCTCAGCCCCCCTGGCTGAGAGACCTGGGGTACAGTAATGAAGCAGGGAGTCTAGCAGGTGGTCATATGACCACTCACCAAGCTTCCTTTACTGTAAGTGAAGTCTGGGAAGCAGCAGCCAAGCACCCTCGCAGCTTTCCAGGCACCAAGGACTGCGGCTGTTATGTGAGAAATGTAAGTGGCAAGTTCTTCTGCACTCTGTATAGCTGAGCAGGTTACAGAGAGATCTTTTTGATCTCTCCAACAGCTCAGTGATTGAAATCACGGCTAGTTGCATACAGCGTGTGCTGGTTACTACTTAAAGCAGCGCGCGCAGTGTGCAGCTTCTAAGAAGATACGCTATTAGCGTAGCGGGAGTGATGCAAACTCCGCAGCCGGCTTCATCGCTA